ATCCCAATCCCGGACTTCCAGCTCTATTACAAAGCTGTCATCATCAAGACAGTATGGTACTGGCACAAAAACAAGACACACAGATCAATGGAACAGAATAGAGAGCCCAGAAATGGACCCTCAACTCTATGGTCAACTCATCTTTGACAAAGCAGGAAAGAATGTCCAACGGGACAAAAAGACAGTCTCTTCTACAAATGGTGTTGGGAAAATTGGACAGCCACATGCAGAAGACTGAAACTGGACCATTTCCTTACACCACACACAAAAATAAACTCCAAATGATTGAAAGACCTCAATGTGAGACAGGAGTCCATCAAAATCCTAAAGGAGAACACAGGCAGCAACCTCTTCGACCTCACCGGCAGCATCTTCTTCCGAGAAATATCGCCAAAGGCAAGGGAGGCAAGGGCAGAAATGAACTATTGGGACTTCACCATGATAAAAAGCTTTTGCACAGCAAAAGAAACAGTCAACAAAACGAAAAGACAACCGACAGAATGGGAGAAGATATTTACAAATGACATATCAGATAAAGGGCTAGTATCCAAAATCTATAAAGAACTTAATGAAACTCAACACCCAAAGAACAAAGAATCCAATCAAGAAATGGGCAGAACACATGAACAGACATTTTTCCAAAGAAGACATCCAAATGGCCAACAGACACATGAAAAAGTGCTCAACATCGCTTGGCATTAGGGAAATCCAAATCAAAACCTCAATGAGATACCGCCTCACACCAGTCAGAATGGCTAAAATTAACAAGTCAGGAAACGAGATGTTGGCGGGGATGTGGAGAAAGGGGAACCCTCCTACACTGTTGGTGGGAATGCAAGCTGGTGCAACCACTCTGGAAAACAGTATGGAGGTTCCTCAAAAAGTTGAAAATAGAGCTACCATATGATCCAGCAATTGCACTACTGGGTATTTACCCCAAAGATACAAATGTAGGGATCCGAAGGGGTATGTGCACCCCGATGTTTATAGCAGCAATGTCCACAACAGCCAAACTGGAAAGAGCCAAGATGTCCATCGACAGATGATAAAGAAGATGTGGTATGTATATACATCAGAATATTATGCAGCCATCAAAAGGAATGAGATCTTGCCATTTGCAATGATGTGGATGGAACTGGAGGGTGTTATGCTGAGCGAAATAAGTCAAACAGAGAAAGACATGTATCATATGAACTCACTGATATGAGGAATTCTTAATCTCAGGAAACAAACTGAGGGTTGCTAGAGTGGGGGGTGGGGTGGGAGGGACGGGGTGGCTGAGTGATAGACATTGGGGAGGGTATGTGCTATGGTGAACACTGTGAATTGTGCAAGACTGTTGAATCTCAGATCTGTACCTCTGAAACAAATAATGCAATATATGTTAAGGAAAAAAAAAAAGAAGAAAGAAGAAGAAAATAGCAGGAGGGGAAGAATGAAGTGGGGGAATCGGAGGGGGAGACAAACCATGAGAGACGATGGACTCTGAAAAACAAACTGAGGGTTCTAGAGGGGAGGGGGGAGAGGATGGGTTAGCCGGGTGATGGGTATTAAAGAGGGCACGTTCTGCATGGAGCACTGAGTGTTATGCACAAACAATGAATCATGGAACACTACATCAAAAACTAATGATGTAATGTATGGTGATTAACGTAACAATAAAAAATTAAATATTTAAATCGATTGTAGTTCATAAACACCAGAGGGTATCATTCACATAATGTAATTAAAATATTCAAATTTGAAAGTCAGTACTACGCCTGCATGCTAAACCCAAGGCTAATTTCAGGGAACTAATTTGGATCTTTCTCAAATGACAAAGAAACCCAGAAGGTGATAGATTTTATTGGTATAAAGAACACTGGAGAAAGAAACCCTGGATTTAGAATGTTAATTAAATAAAGAAATCACATTATTTTCTCCTCTAATGCAACATCTAAATGGTCTTAGGAAAATCTTTTGCTTTGATTTTTTTGGTATCATTACACAAATACCTGATAAAAGCCCTCCGTGCCCTGTTTCCCGCCAATGATAATGAATCTGATGAAGATGCTAAGCAGCCGACATCTGACTCTCAAGCGCAAGCCTCGCTCGCTACCACCGTGAACTGACGCACAGAGCTGCAACGTCCACGTGACTGCCGTTACATCAGCCCACTCCAGATGTTCCCCAGGCAGGGAGAGAGCCACTCTTGCCACTGCGTTTTAGAAAGTGATCAGGCAGAACTTTTAAAGGTCAGACCCCTTGATGTGCTTATTCCACGTCTGGGAATCTACTGAGAGAAAGCGTACAAAATTGGAACAAAGGTGTTCACTGCACAACTTTTCACAGCATCGTGAAGAGTGGAAAGCTGCTGAAAGGTCCCAAGATAAGGAACTAGTTTGTTTGCACGTTTATTTTCTTCCTTCTTTCATTCAAAAAAGTACTCCAAGCCCTGGGGACACAATAGACAAAAATAAATACAACTCATGCTCTCTTGGAGTCCACTTTCTGGAGGAAGGGATGGGCCAGACTAATCACCATAGAAATGAGCAGGTAAGGACCACAGGCTCCCTGCGGTGATGGGAAAAGACAGGATGATGCTCTCTGAGCCCAGATCAGGGCAAACTGATCAGTCTAGGGGGCAGCCTGTCCTGAGCACTGGACATTTGAGCAGATAGCTAAGGATGAACAGGAGTTAAGCAAGCCAGGGACAGTGGAGGCATCCAGAATGAGGAAGAGGCACCTTCAAGGAGAGAGCAAGGAAGTACAAGGGCCCAGAGGGCTAGAGCACCTGCTAGAGCCCAGAGACCACGGGCAGACGATGAGGAGACAAGGCTGGAGAAGTGGCAGCCCCAGGAGGCCCCCACAGGGGGCCTTGAACGATCTTCAAGTTCTCCTAACAGTGTGAGGCCTTGAAGAGTACAATCACATGGGCATTTTACCAGATCTCATTGGCTACAGTGTGAAGAGCTGAGTAGATTACAGAGGATCCTCATCACAATGTAACATGTCACTACAGAAGAATTTGTGAATAATCTGAGTAACGGAGGAAAATAAGTACAATGTTATAAGGTATTAAAAACAAGAGACAAAATTGCATTATAAAATAAACTCAATTTTATAAAACATATGGGCTGAAAAAGGCTGCAAGGAGATACATTAAAAACATTAACAGTGACTACATTACGGCGGTGAGATTACAAATGACGCTTGTTCTTACAGTTTTCTGCACTTCCAAAATTTTCCACAGAATGAGTCTGTGTCCTATTTGTGTGAGAACCTATCTGATATGTTGATGTAACCTAGACGTTTGTATCTATATTTTGCAAAGCAAAATAGTCATGCAAAAAAAGTCTCTTTCCTATTCGGTAATTTGTACTATAAAATATTAACAGAATACATGACAATTGGAATACAGCCTAAATCTGTTTAGATATTGTGTCCATTTGCCTGTTAACTAGATGACCAGTTAGCTGAACCCATCCCCAGCAAACCTTGAAATAGTGTACAGATAGTTGGCTAAGGTTACAAATCAACTTGGGACCAGAACGATCTTCAAATTTAATTCCATGACAGTTTTGCCAAGGGAATAAGTATTTTTATAACTTCATCAATAAATTCAGATGCTCATAGCTGCAAGCATACAGGACTGAGGCTACAAATTAATGAAGCATACCACATGACATCGTGTTCATATATTTTGTCATTTATTCTCAACACTAGAAGAAGTCACACTGTACTAGAGACAATCTTACGGCTAGTATAATGGAGGCTCAAAGGCAAACCCACTGTGTCAAACACACAGAGTAAAAGCTTCATCCCGACGACAGCCGTCCCGATCCTGTTCTCTCTCCTCCCCAGTGCCTGGCACATAACAGGCTTTAGTCTGTTGAGCTGAGCCCCAGTAGAAGAGTCTAGAGCCAAGCCAGGTCTGTTTGGCACTAAAAGCTATGCTCTCTTCAAGAACAGCTCATTTCCCCTCTTCCATAAACAAGTGAAACCCACTTGGCAACTGACATTTTCATTGTCTTTCCTCTCAGCTGGGAAAATGTTTGCAGAGCTCAGATGATCAGTTTGCTAAACCACCTGAGCAGGTACCGATCATAGCTAAGAGACCCTGGAGAGGGTGTAGAAAACGTACCTACTCTCAACTGACCCAATGTGTTTGGAGGGCAGTTTTCAATGTCAACTACAGTTTTAAATTCTCATATCCTTCAAGACAGCAATTTCAACTCTAGCAATTTATGCCACAGGAAGTTGTGAAGAAGTACGGAAAGACAAAGGTAGCAGAACTTTGAGGGTAGCATTGTCCATCGAGCAAAAACTGACTACAGAAACTATACTGCACCCATTCAATAGCAAACGCCTGTTAAAAACTATGTACTGAAAAAGATTTTCAAGGTGTGGTAAGTTAAAAAAAAAAACTGATAACAGAGCATTTACTATTTTGTATTAGGAAAAAAATAACAAAATTAAAGTGCTATATTTTAGTATATCATGAAAAAATTATGGTGGCATATGACCAAACTGTCAATAGCAATTACCTCTAGAAGAACTATGGGTTACTTTAACCCTACATCATCTGGAGTGCTGGGACTTTCTCCAAGATGCTTGTGTTACTTTTAAAAGTGTGGGGGGCAGGGGATTTTTTTTTCTTATCATAGTATGTACAGCTTTAAAAATCAGCAAATTTACTAAGGCCTTGTTTATACCTCTTTTTATCAAGGTTGAACATACATTTGCCTTAAGTAAAATGATCTACCTTCATCCAGCCAATTGGTGCTCAGTTCCAAAAGTGTGTGGATCTGCCACGCATTTCACAGAAGCAACGCGGGCTCAGTCAACACACAAGGACCGTAACGGAGGGTCTGACTGCTAGGTTAAATCAAGAAACCAATGTCGTCCACAACTCAGTCTGCAAACAGAGTCCTGATAAAGTAATGTGCTGGTCCTCTGGCCGGCTATGGCCATCACCGGAGTCCAGCCCCAGCTGGAGGCGCACGGGACAGACACCTTACCTGCTGGACTTCATGGGTTGCTCATACGGTGTCTGCTGAATGGCATACTCCTGGTACCCTCTCCGAGGCGCCAGGTCGGCCAGGGTGGCCTCGGGGTTGGCAGTGCCTGTCTCTGGGGGCCCGGCCTCCACCGGAACGATCCTGGTAGCACCTGACATGAGTACAAGGCACCGCACATTAAAGAGGCACCACGAGGGGCTCTTACCCCACCCCACACAGGAGCACAGCCCCGGGAAGTGTGTGTCTTCACTGTATAGCACCCTTGCAAGGTATTGGTTTTCCTGCAGTTCACACATTTAACTTGTGTGTGTGTGTGTGTGTGTGTGTCTGTGGAGGGGAAAGGGCAAATTTTCTAGGAATCTAGCAAAACATCCTTCTGGGCCTCCTGAGTGGCGCAGTTGGTTGAGTGTCCGACTCTTGGTTTTGGCTCAGGTCGTGATCTCAGAGTCATGAGATCAAGTCCCACGTCAGGCTCCCTGCTCAGTGTGGAGTCTGCTTGAGATTTGCGCTCCCTCTCTCTCTGCCCCTCCTGCTCTCTCCCTAAAATAAATAAATAACATCCTTCTGAGGTAATTTTCACTTGATCTATTAAAAAAAAACAGGGAAGACAGGGATATCCATACACATATGTTCGCCTCCCAGGTTTCCTATAGGACCAGCTGTGTCCCACTCTGAGTAAATGGAAAACTGCATCATGAGATTATGGAGCGGTGGCATCAGCTGTAAATAGGAATCCAAGCTGCCAAGTGTCCAGTCCCACAAACGACATGACCTTACCATTGGTGGGCCGGCTCCTACCCTAGCAAATGAAGGGTGTGGAGTGGAGAAACACAAAGGTCCCTTTGCTTGTGCACTTCTGGGATGCGAAACGATCAAAGGCCTGTATAGCAGTGGACATGAGCACGCACGCGTGCATCAAAGAAAAGGCTCCAATCTACCCCATTTCTAGAATAGCAGAGCAATCATTACATGTTTACCCCCACTTACGGAAAGCTCAAAGGACTACCAGCAATTTTAGAGAAGTTACCGAGGGGATCCCCAGAGACGCGAAGAACAGGAGCCGCTCCCCCTCCGAGGTTTTGCTTCCCGGGCCGATACTGCTCTGAAGCAGGGGGCAGACAAAGCAACTTTCCAGAAAGCTCTAGCCACATGTTTTTACGTGCCTTACTTCCTACCGATCATCCTACTCTGTACTGAGGGACAAAGAGGCACTTACCTGGCATTTCCGCTTTAAATAAGGAGTGACTATTACCATTGAAAAGAGGTGCTTCGAAGGCTGTAGCTGCTCTTAAAATCCTACACTTGATTTTTATTTTTTTTAAAGATTTTATTTATTTATTCATGAGAGACAGAGAGAGAGAGAGAGGCAGAGGGAGAAGCAGGTTCCCAAGGAGCAGGGATCCCGATGCGGGACTCGATCCCAGGACCCTGGGATCATGACCTGAGCCGAAGGCAGACGCTTAACCATCTGAGCCACCCAGGCGCCTAAAATCCTACACTTGATTTTTAAATATTATTTGACAACTATCACTCCAAGTGGATAGGAAAAAAACCATCATAATACTTTGGAGCCTGCTATCGTAAACTGCTTTTTGTCTAAAGTATCCCCTCCTGAAAGACCTTTTTTAAAAAAGGTAGTATAATATCTCCACTCTATTTTATGTGAAAGGAAAAGGGAGACCAAAATCTCCAGTATTATAAACTATGTGATGAGCCTACTAAAAATGGGTGGAGGGACCATGAGAGTGCGGGTTCTGGGGAGCAGGCGCATCCGTCTGGTCTGAGTAGGTCTGTCTCCCACGGGGGCCCCAACACTGAGGGCAGTAAGGGAAGGGCACCCCTGGGCCAGGGGCTGGACTAGGGGAGCAGAGGAAAGAAACGTGCTGATCGGGCCTCTGGCAGCAACAGCAAGCCCCCAGCACCTCTCCTCTACGTGCTATCCACGACAGCCCTGAAGGAACAGGCCCACCGTGGTGCCACAGGAATGGGTAACCAGAGGGAGACCCCGTCAGTGAGCCAGCTGCCCAGGACCACAGGGTCCAAGCTGTCGGGCTGCCCAGTACAGATTCGCCAAAAGATGCGTGTTTTGCCCCTTCCTGCTTGCTGTGGTCACCTGGAATCGCTTCATGGGCCGTTAAAACCACACTGATGATGGGTTTCTTCACTCTGGAAATCTGCCCGGCCTCCTTTCCCGAGGGGATCTTCTGGACTTTCTCTGTCCTCTGTGTCCGCGGCCTCCTTGGGGTCTTTTCTCGATCATCTTCCTTATACTTCCTTTCCAGTTCAAGGTCAGATTCATCACCTAAAGAGCAAATAATACCTAGATTTATAAAATATCCTTTTAGATCAGTGACAGAACTGGAGAGTGCACATAACCTTTTTATAAAGGGACAGTGGAAGAAATATTTATGTGTGATATATACACGCTGGTCCCCCCTGCTATGCGGGCCTCTCGCTCGCTTCAGGCACTGTCTCTGGTTCTTCGGGCTCTCGTCTGATTCAGTAAATACTCCCCACACTGCTGCCAGGGGCCAGCATCGAGGCACCGGGGGGATCCAGTGTTGACAGAGCAGGCGTAACTCCTCACCTTGTTCTCACAAAGCCTACCAGACTTCAGAGCTACTGCAGAAGATATGGTCTCCAAGATTTACAGTCTAGGGAGAATCATTCAAGCTACAACTACTAGCTACCTTCTGTGGTGGATATAAAGGCCCATAAGGCACAGATGCAGACCCTCTCCTCAAAAGCCCTGCAGTGTGGTGGGAGAGACGGGCAAGGACAGTGAGCTGTGCGCCAACTGAAAGGAGGAGCGATGGAAGCATCCAAAACCATCAGCTCTGCATGCTGTGTAGCTACAGCTTCATGGAGACACAGGGAGGTAGAAATAAAACACTGGAGGGAGTAAAAGCTAGGTCCTAGAGGGCCTGAAGGCCCATGAGAGTCTGGGGCCCTCCATCCCTGAGTGCAGTGCTCACGGAGGCCAGGCTCGTAGCATGAGTGGGCGAGGCCACCAAGTGGGACTCTAGTGACAGAGCACAGGCCCCAGAGCCAGTTGGGGCCACCCTGTCAGGGCCGGGGACAAAGTCACCAGATGTCTTGATTATTCAGAGGAAGACAGGAAATCCACTGCTTACATGAAATCTGATTTTTCAAGGTTGACACTAATCTACAAAATCTTAAAACAATGGGAGAGCCAAGCACAACATGTCTGAGGTTGCTCTTGACCCACAGCACCTCCTGCCGCCGTGGAAGGCAGTGGTGAGCTGCTGGAGCATTTTATGTGCAAGAATGGCTACCCTACATCCGTGCTTCGAACCCATGCACCACTGAGGAAGATGAACTGAATGGGTTCAAAAGACATTTCAGCACACGAAAGAATGGCTGCGTCAGCCACAGAAGGAACAGCAGCTAACTTCACACGGCTAGACTTGGCAGTAGCCTGAGGGCTAAGAAACACTCCAATACCAAGGTGAAGAATAAAAGTGCAAGCGATCTCTTGAATGCAGGCTGTTCCAGATTCCGAAGGAAATAGGGGAGGAAGGAGAAAGGCGTTTTCTGTCTTAGAATCACAACCACAAACCTGAAATAACTTGCCCAAGAATCACCTCTTCAGAACATCATGACAAGCAGAGGGAACCACTCCACACAGCCTGTTAGCAGAATTGAACACAGGGTGGTGGGGGCTTGATTGCAGGACACGCACACGGGTGGACGGACAGTGGGGGCTCAGAAAGCACTGGCAAGGGGCGGCGGTGGGGGAGGTGCGTCACGCAGGTGAAGTTAGAACCGCACAGCAATAAAGCAGAAGCTAGAGAAGACCGGAGAAACCAAAGGGAGACTGCCTGGGGCAACTCGGTAAGTCTGTGCTTACCACGATTCAGGTCTGCCCGCAGCCAGACATCAATGTACCAACATTCGCCTGGAGAGACGAGATAAAATGGAGAAGCACAAATTCTCGGGGAGGCCTGCTGGTGGGAGGAAGGCTCTCTCAAGATGAGGCTAGGAAAACACACGGCTAATGGGGCAGAGTGATCAAAATATCCGTTAATATTCTGTGTTCTACAGATGACATCTTTTGGTGCTTGTCCCCATAATCCAGGTGGTGCCCGGAACATGTGTAGACCTGGTGGAAACAGTCTTAGGGAATTTAATTGCCTGGAAAGGGTCCTTAGTCACATAATTAGTGTGAGCACGAAACACGTTAACATTGAATTTGAATAGAAAAATTAGCAGATGAGAGCATGAATCAGACGGACTGTGCATTACTACTCTCCAAGGCCAAAGGGGAAAGTCAAGGACCATCACACAGGTCCATCCTTTGAGGAACATCACAAGTCCTGCAGAGCTAAAGAACAGGGCAAAACAAAGGACCTGCAAAATCGCCGCCAGTGCTCACGTTCTGTGAGGTTGGATTTGCACCAGGCCTAATGGGAATTTTTTCTATCATTCTGTAGTGGCTATATTAAACACATCTCAAAAAGTCTACAAATCGCCTGAGTCACAGAAGTTCTTTATGGGGCCTACATATTGTATGATACGCGTGCATAAGCAACTACAGTAGAATATACTGGATGCTATGAAGTGGTAGAAACAACGTATCGAGGGATTTTTGTGCTTTTAAAATGATGCTCCAGTTCATAAAAGAACTCACCTGGGGATACAATTCAGTATGTGGGCAACATAGCAGGAATAGATATGTTCATATAAAAAAAAAAGCCCCCAGAAACAACAACCAGCACCCTAAGAATCTGAGCTTGCCATGAGCTGAACCCGGGTTAACCACATGAATCAACTAAAAAACCAGAAGCATCCACACAGTGGTAGCCTGCATCATCAGGAGGGATCTCATGATCTTGACTCTGCTTTAGGCATCATATGTTAGAAAGGCGCTGCAGAGCGGGCCGCATGAGGATGGCGGATGGGAGTAGAAAAAAGTTTGGAAGAGCCTGAGTTGGCCCAGGGTGGAGAAGAGGAGATTGGGTAAGAATCTCACCTCTCCGCCAGCAGTGCTCGAGCTTTGGCCACTGGAACCACTGCCGGTGCCCATGCCTCCTCAAGGGTGGCGCCCCTCCAGCTGCAGGGACAGAGAACCCTGCCCCAGTCCCAGCCCTACCCCTCCCCCAGCCCGGCAGCTGGGGCTACAGGACCTCAGCGCAGGCGAATGGGGTCCAGTTGAAGGCGGCCAGTGGGCTCCTGGGAGCAGTTTTCCTCCCTAAGAAGAAAGAAACGCCCCTCTTCTTCAATGGGACATTACCATGTCCACTGCTCAGAACTGAGACAAACACCCAGAAACTACAAGAGATCAAGCGAAAGACGAGTCAATGCCTTGAGGATCTTGAAGGCAAGTATGGACCGTGGGATCTTGATGGCGGGATCTTGACGGCAGCTGCTCCACTGAGCCCACCCGAGAACCACTGGTCCTCAGAGACCTTGTTACCCAAAAGAACGGCCATCCTCATGCTCAAACACATCTGCAGTTGGCACCTCTGCTAAAAGTTATCTTGACTAACATGCTCTCCAAACCACTCTCCAACCTGACCCCAGAGTAAACGGTTTCAGAATTCAAACATGCCCCTGTCCCTGCCCCCTTTAAAGCCCTTCAATGGCTTCCCTCCTGTTTCCATTAGGAGAAAGTACTAGATAAAGCCCTCTGGGATTTGCCATAAATCCTCTCTCCCAGGACCCCTGAACTGTCAAAGCCACACCTCCCACACACATGCCCACCAGTACTCATCTGCTCACCCCCTGGGGCTAGAACAACACTGGATGACAAGCTGACCAAACACCCAGGATGTTTACAGTCTCTGGACCTTGCACACAACACCCTCACCCCACACACCCTGCCTGTCCGAAAGACAAAGGCACACAGATTTACACACGCACACGCATGCACCAACGTATCACCATATCAATGGTTGGACTTCCCACACTGCTTTGCAATTTTCTATTCAGATGCCTCACTGTGCTGTGATCTCCTGGAGGGTGGGTCCACGTCTTCATGTTATTTTACAAGCCTAGCACAGGCCTGGAGCAGAGAAAGGGCCTGCCCTAGGTGACAAGACCTACTCTGCTGTGCTCAGAAAAGCCCAGCTAGAACCAACGGGTTCAAGTCACAACAGGTTTCAGCCAGAGAAATTTCCAGCAGTCAGAGCTGTCCAAGGAGGAAAGGGCAGCTTCTAGTGACGCATTTCCAAGGAAGTTTAGGATCCCATTTGTGATGCTATGGGAAAGACCACACCACCAGGGAAGTCAGACGAGGCAAGAGACCTTTGCGTCTCTGAACTCTAGGCTGACTCACAGGGAGATGGAGCTTGCAGTGGAGGAGCATGGCCCTGGAAAGAAGGGGGCAGGGAGAAAAGAGGGCGGAGAAATGAGCAATAGGGGACAGTAAAAGAAAACTCTTGAGTAGGGCAGTGGGCAACAGAACACTCTGCACCTCCCTCCCTCCTGGACGGGCATGAGAGTCCAGTTTGTGCTCTGTGCGGGTTCTGAGCCCCCCACAGCAATGCCAGTGGGGCTCCGGCTGTGTCTCCCGGGCCCATGCCTGACTCTGGCAGCAGCTCCAGAGGATGGCTCACACTTACCTTGTCCTCCAGCATCCCACCTCAGCTGCACACGGTGCCCTTCGGGATCCCTGCTGAGCCCGGAAGTGAAGACGGCTCAATGTGATGGGGGGCAAGCCTCAACCAATGAAGGATGGGAGCCAGCAAATGACCACTCTGGGCTCCTGACTTGGGTGGACAATTCTGAAAGCCATTCTGAAGCTTCAAGATCCTGGAAGAGCTGAACCTCTGCTGACTGCAGCAGTGAGCCCAATAACAAACCCTCGGCTCCCCTCCCTCCCTGTCTCACCTCCCCACTCCTTCACTCCTGCCTCCTGGGATCACCATCCCCATAAACCGTCCACAGCCACAGCTACCTCTGGGGGGAACAGATGCTAAGACACTCTCCATTGAAGACTGCCCCAAATACACATTCCTCCCTCAATTCTCCATGGCCTCATGCAACGTGGAGCCACAGCTCATTCAGCTATGTTCCATCCTCAGAGCTTCTGAAGTCTCCATGCCAAGTTTTCCCACTGATTCAGGCACCACATGGCAAGCACTGACCTCAGCAGCCTTGGAAATGATTCTTTGAGATGGTGTGACACGGTCCCTTCAGCAATGGAGCACCATGGGCAGAACCAGGTTCCCACAGGAAACCAGCATGTGCGTGCAGGGAGTAGCAAATCACTCCAGGTAAAACACCAAGCATGAGAGGCGCGAGCCAAGAGGGTGAAGAAAGACAGGCAGTCACGGCCCA